TGAGCTTGCACCCTTCCTCCAGTTAGGAGGTAGTGGCATTCATTCATTCATTCATTCATTCATTCGTTCATTCGTTCATTCATTCATTCGTTCATTCGTTCATTCGTTCATTCATTCATTCGTTCGTTCGTTCGTTCGTTCGTTCATTCATTCATTCATTCTGTAGCAAAAAACACCCACATTCATGGTGCCAATACCTTTAGGCAGAGGTGGCAACCTGTGACCTACAACTCCCAGGATCCCTGATCATTGGCTATGTTGGCTGGGACTTCTGGGGAATACAGGTCAGCTATAATTAGGAGGCACTAGTTAAGGGAAGTCTACCCTATGTAAATTTAATGTTCAATATGACTTTGGGTAAGATTAACACTCCCAAGAGCAGAAAATAAATGGGAGACATGTGGCGATCACAAGCCTTGGCATACAATCATCATTTATAAAAACAGTCTTACCCAGGATTGGCCCTGCCAAGCAGCAAAACAGAACAATTTGCAATGCCACTTAGGGCTGGAGGAAGGACTCTGCAAAATATGGAGGGCTTTGTATTTATTAGCCATTGGTTGTATTTGGTGGCCACTATGATTTGCTGATGATGTTTCAGTGCCAGATCCAATTAAATACACTGCTACTGTGCCAATAATGTTCAAATAATTGAATAGAGGAACTCAGAATGAGCACCTCAAGGTAAAGATCAGAGAGAATGAATCTCTGTGAGATGTTACAGCTTCACCTGCAGCCCAAACCTATTAGGAAATGCAAGAGCCTGCCAAGGGCGTTTGCCTCTGCGAATAATCTCCACTGGATTCCATAATCGGTGTCCACGTAAACAAGACACCACATTTCACCCATTTAGCTCTTAATGCTTTTAGGCATGGTACCTCCATGTCACCAACCTAATCGGTGGCCATCCATTCATGAGGCAGCACTGTCACAAAGTCTCAAATACTAGAATGAATTAAAAAGTGCTCAGCATGGTGTACATGCGGAACAACTTACAAAACAATGCAGAAAATCTTATTCCCAGTTGACATCAAACGATATCTCCTACAGGTAGCAACTTCCAAGGGTTTGTGCATCAAAATCAGCAAGATGGCAGTGTCACAATGTGATGCTCAGCCCAATTTTGACACATTCACACAACTCTGCAGATGCTGCTGTCTACAGGGGTTCTCTTATATAGATTTTTCTGGGGTTCCAATTAGCCCAAGAACAAAGTGGCAATCAGTGGAATTCTTTCAACAACGGCATTTTAGGATAGCAGCTAGCCACATTGCTTGCTCTTGTTCCTTGCATTCCCTGCAGTTTTCAAATCGTGCATAAAGCAAGTCCCACATCAAAACTGACACAGCTCTTGAATCAGCCAAATGACTCTATCTCTGTCCAGGAATAACTTTAGCATACGTAGCACCCAAAAGTGTGGTGCAGCGTTCAACGTCAGGATCCCCTCTTTTTCAGCTGGCTGGACCTAAGTTCAAGCCTGCCAGACTCTCAACACAGCATGGCCAGGCAGAATCTTTATTGTTCACTAGAACTGAACACCCTGAACAGTTGATTGTTTTCTGACAGTTATGGTTTTGCTACCACATTCTAACCTTCAGCCTTTACCATCTCACCTTTTCCTCTCTCTTTTTCCACAGTTTAGTGGGTGCCCTGCTCTATGCTTCCCATCTCTGTGCAAGGTCACAGTGAATTATTTACACCAGTGTTTCTCAACCTTGGCCACTTTGAGCTATGTGGACTTCAACTCCCAGAATTCTCCAGCCAGCATGCTGTCTGGCTGCAGTAAATATCCAGGAGCAAACCCAACTTCATCATGACATTCATTGGTGGACTTGGGGTCAGTCATTGTCCCTCAACAAAACCAGCCTCACAGGATTGTCGCTGTGAGTAAGAATTGGAGAGAATGCTAGGTTTGCTTTCTTGAGTTCCTGGAGGAATGCCAGAATATAAATCTAATAAGCTTTGTAGGCCTCTAGTGACAATGGTTTCAGGATCATCCCCAAAGTACGCAGTCATGCTGAGGGAGTGCAGCCCAGTTAATGAAGTACTTATTTTCCCAGGACAGTGAACTGCCAATCTTACTTTCCATGAATCATTCTATTTACTGGCTCCCATTGCTGCAGTTTAAAACCTGCACAACCTCTTCTGATGCTCTGATGTAGTACTGTAGAGAAAAAGATCTGGCATATTGCTTCTCATTCCAATTCTCCTGCAAAACTTTGTGTCTTTCTGTCTCGAAGTTTCTAACCGTCATTTGTCTGTGACAGTATCTATGTCCCATTAATTAACTGATAGACCACATAGGATCTTGTTATGAACATAGTCAAGATGGATGCAAGCTTATTTTGGAGAAGGGCAGCTATTAATCTTAATATTAATACAAAGAAGATTAATGTCATTAATTAGCATAAAAATAGTTCAGGGTGAGTATGTGCTTTTAAATAGACCGCAGTTAGCGCTATCAATCATAGGTTATTGTAAAGATATTCCATTTTTCCCTGCTTAACGGATTTTCTGTGTTATGAGGAAAAAGCTGGAAAAAAAACAAGAGGAAAACAGAGGAAAGTTACAGGAGAAGGCAGTGGCATCTGGGCTTCATAAATGAAGCAAGATGATTGTGCAATACAATCCTTGAATACAGGCACTCTGGATAGATTCAGACCACATGCTAAACCAGGATAATGAAACAAGAATGGCTATGCTCACATAACATATTTTGCCCAAATAAACCATACTATGGATCAACATAATGCCTTGGTTCAAATCAAATGTTAAGACAATGAATTGGGGTCCTGCAGCACAATAAATCACAAATCACCAAAGCCCATTTTAGCCTGGTGTAGTGTGTCATGCGAACTCAGCCGCTGCGTTTTCTATCTATCACACTGTTTGAACACATTTTATCGTGAACAACTTGCACGATCTAGTTATAGAGAGTATAGAATTTCCCATTACATTCGGAACAGGGACACTCACATCTCTTCTTTCACAAAAACAAATCCATCAACACTACAACTAGTCTAGTCCTGGAACTCATACCAGCTTTACACATTTGTGTCACACTTAACTCAAAACTATGCGTACCAGCTTTTTGTTACAATTCTTCTGTTCGCGTCAAAACACGTACCTTGTTAACTTGAAAATATAGGAATATTGTATACGCTTCTAAATGGAACCCTGCACAACATTTACATGAATGTAGTATGTTTTTAGAGATCTGTGTTAAACCATAGTGTGGAGTGCTTGGATTTGGTGTTTAGTGTGACAGGGGGCTGTTAGTCTCTGCTAGAAGTTTTCTAGCACCCGCCCTTTGGAACATCATCTCCCCCCCCCACACACAAGGTGAGGTTGGCCCCAACCCCTGTCACCTTCTGGAAATCCCTTAAAATGCGGCTTTTTCAGCAAGCCGGGGGATCCCCTGCTAAGAGGAGCCCATGAGTTGGCTGCGTCATGTATAATATTTTGACATGTTCCCTTTCGTCACCTTGTTTTTTATTTATATTTGTTTTAAATGGATTTTGTATAATGTTTTAATTGTTGGTTTTATTGTACGCCGCCCAGAGTCACTTTGTGTGAGATGGGAAGCCATATAAATTTGATAGACAAACAAATAAATAAATAAATGGGGAATTCTCAATTAATAAATAAATTGGAAATCCTCTATGAATGAATGAATGAATGAATGAATGAATGAATGAATGAATGAATGAATGAATGAGAAATCCTCTCTAGGTCCAGATGGGGACAACCCATTACCATGGATAATAGCAAAGCATGCTGGGAGTTGCAGTTCAGCTACATTGGAAGAACTTCCATTTCCTCACCATTGCTCTGGGTAATTACAGTGGTACCTCGGGTTACGAACGCCTCTACTA